CTAAAGTATTTGTAAGTTCTCTTCTCCCTAATAGTTTATTTTTTCCTCCTCAAAGCTTCGTAAGCACTACACGGTTCGAAATTATCCAAAATCCAGGAATCTCAAATTCCAGGAAGCTTCATCAGTACCTTCCTTTTGTGGTTGGTCTTATCATTATGGAATTCTTGTCATGTTTTGGTCTACATACCTCTATCTACTCCAAATGTCTTTTGATGTCCATGTCACACTAGTTTATTTACACTCTAAGCGGCACCTTAAAGAGGGATTTCACAGCTGAGCGAAAAAATAAAATTACTTCTCGCACACATGTAAGACAATGGATGGTGTCAGTCAAATGCAAAGTCTAATCTACCTATTGAATAGGTATTTAGTGTCAATTATCCGCCAGCCAAAGTTTGATTTCCCTTCAATGATCATACCTGGGAAATGGTTGATTTCATGCCTCAGGTGTTGCAGATCCATACCTACAAACCCTTCAAGTATTGATAGAGCCCATTTCAGATAACTTTGCCTCTTTTGTTGTGTTACCTAGGGGGACGCGCGCTTACAGCAAGAGAGTCAAAGTTATCGAAAATGGGCTTTAACAGGATGGATTAAATTTTCCTTGAAGCCTTTAGCCTAGGCACTCATTGATAGAGAAGGAAAATAAAAGAGTAGATCTGACAACAGACAAGCAGAAGATTAAACGCATCAAGGCTACTGTGAACACTCACATACAATGTCAAAATTGATAAGTGTTTAACCTTTCTTCAGTCAAATCTATTTTTTCTACCTCTGTTCACTACACTGCAGCAAAAGTCAATCTTTATTGGTAATACCTACTAGGATATATAGGGTGTCTCAGACCATCCGTACCAGGCTTTCTTGGTTATTTTAGGTCGGACAAAGCAGGTGATGACGGAGTCAAATAAGGAATCCAAACGTGGCCTCAAGGCTCCCCGTCCTTCCTTGGGGGATAAAGGGGGTGTCATGGACCCATGGCTTTTAAAGTTGGGACTTCTGGAAAAATTTTGAAACTCAGAAAGCATAGAAAATTTTACTCCCAATCAATACCAAGAAATCTAAAATACCTAGACCACTTTTGTCGAAATGTTGACTCTCAGAGGTGGAGGGGACAGGAGGGCTCCCTCCCCAACATTCATTATCCCTGAACTGTTGTAGAGACTCGTGAAAAAGATGTTGTCTTAGGTACTCGACCACCAGAAATCCAGACTTGACAGTCT